CTTTATGATCTTTAGGATTTTTAGGATCTTTAAGATCTTTGAGTTCTTCAGGGTTTTTGGGATCTTTGGGATTCTTGAGATCCTTAGTATCTTTAGGATCCTTATGATATTTAGAATTTTTAGGATCTTTAGGAATTTAGGACCTTCGAAACCTTCAGAATCTTCAAAATCTTCAGAATCTTTAGAATCTTCAGAGTCTTCATAATCTTCAGAGTTTTCATAATATTCAGAATCTTCAAAATCTTCGAAATCTTTAGAATTTTTAGAATCTTTACACTTTTTAGAATCGTTAGAATCTTGGGAATCTTCATAATTTTCTAACTCTTCTGAATCTTCGGGATCTTCGGAATCTTCGGAATTTTCGGAGTCTTCGGAATCTTCGGAATATTTGTATTCTTTAGGATTCTTGGGATCCTTCGGGTCTTTAGCAAATTAGGATCCTTAGAATCTTTAGGAACTTTAGAATCTTTAAGATCTTTAAGATGTTTAGAACCTTTACAATCTTTAGTATGTTTGGATGTTCTAGAGTCCCTAGAACTCTATTTTTTGAATTTGAGAAAACTTTGTAATTTTCATATTCTTCTAAAATTTCAAGACGTTCATAAACTTCAAAATCTAGAGAACCTGTAGGTTTTAATCTAACCCTTAGAATATTTATAATCTTTAGGATCTTCGGAACCTTCAGAATCTTCAAAATCTTCAGAATCTTTAGAATCTTCAGAATCTTCATAATATTCAGAATCTTCAAAATCTTCGAAATCGTTAAAATTTTTAGAATCTTTACACTTTTTAGAATCGTTAGCATCTTGGGAATCTTCATAATTTTCTAAATCTTCGGAATCTTCGGAATCTTCGAAATATTCGGAATCTTTGTAATTTTCGGAGTCTTCGTAATCTTCGGAATATTTGGATGCTTTAGGATTCTTGGGATCCTTCGGGTCTTTAGCAATTTAGCATCCTTAGGATCTTTAGGAACTTTAGAATCTTTAAGATGTTTAGAACCTTTAGAATCTTTAGGATCTTTAGAATCTTTAGTATGTTTGGATGTTCTAGAGTCCCTAGAACTCTATTTTTTGAATTTGAGAAAACTTTGGAATTTTCGTATTCTTCTAAAGTTCCAAAACGTTCAGAAACTTCAAAATCTAGAGAAGCTGTAGGTTTTAACCTAACCTTTAGAATATTTAGAATCTTTATGATTTCTAAGTATCTTTAAGATCTTAAGGATTATTAAAATATTTAGGGCCTTCGAAACCATCAAACTCTTCAGAATCTTCAGAATCTTCATAATCTTCAGAATCTTCAAAATCTTCGAAATCTTTAGAATTTTTAGAATCGTTAGAATCTTGGGAATTTTCATTATTTTCTAAATCTTCGGAATCTTCGGAGCCTTTGGAATCTTCGGAATATTTGGATTCTTTAGGATTCTTGGGATCCTTCGGGTCTTTAGCAATTTAGGATCCTTAGGATCTTTAGGAACTTTAGAATCTTTAAGATGTTTAGGATGTTTAGAACCTTTAGAATCTTTAAGATCTTTAGAATCTTTAGTATGTTTGGATGTTCTAGAGTCCCTAGAACTCTATTTTTTGAATTTGAGGAAACTTTGGAATTTTCGTATTCTTCGAAAGTTTCAAAACGTTCAGACACTTCAAACTCTAGAGAACCTGTAGGTTTTAACCTAACCTTTAGAATATTTATAATCTTTAGGACCTTCGGAACCTTCAGAATCTTCAAAATCTTCGAAATCTTTAGAATTTTTAGAATCTTTACACTTTTTAGAATCGTTAGAATCTTGGGAATCTTCATAATTTTCTAAATCTTCGGAATCTTCGGAATCTGCAAAATATTCGGAATATTTGGATTCTTTAGGATTCTTGGGATCCTTCGGGTCTTTAGCAATTTAGGATCTCTAGGATCTTTAGGAACTTTAGAATCTTTAAGATCTTTAGGATGTTTCGAACCTTTAGAATCTTTAGGATCTTTAGAATCTTTAGTATGTTTGGATGTTCTAAAGTCCCTAGAATTCTATTTTTTGAATCTGAGGAAACTTTGGAATTTTCGTATTCTTCGAAAGTTTCAAAACGTTCAGAAACTTCAAAATCTACATAACCTTTAGGTTTTAACCTAACCTTTAGAATATTTAGAATCTTTATGATTTCTAAGTATCTTTAAGATCTTAAGGATTATTACAACTTTTTTACCCCTTTAATTATCATGGAAATTTTAGAATTGTAAAAGTTTGGAGCCTTTAGAATTAGAAAATATTTACAATAGCCTTTCAATTGATATTTTAAAACATTAGAAAGTCTGGAATACTTGCTTTTTTAGAACATTTCGAATTTACCGAATTCTTAGCATCTAAACAAAGTACTGCATTTTCTTTTATTTTCAGAATTTTTAGACAAACAGTTGTAAAGATTATAAATGAATTTTAAAAAGATCTTGAAGATAATAAGTTCCCTAGGCAACCTAGCGGTCTAAAGATATTAACGATATTAAAAATCACAAAGATCTTAAAACCACACAGATCCCAAAAATCTTAAAAATTCTAAAGGTTTTAAATTTTCAGAGATATTAAAGATTTCGAAGATTCTAAAAATTCAAAAATTTTATGTTCTTAAACAGCCTCAAAAGACACCTGTTAAAGAAAATGGAAGATCTTACGGATCTAAAAAGAAGCTCTTCAAGACCCTAATCAGATCATAAGTACCCTAAAAACATCAGAAAGTCTCCAAAAATACAAAATATTTTTGGATCCTAGAAATCGTTGCAATATCTAGCTGCACACACTATGGATGATGGATGATAGAACTCTTGCCTGAATACCGGTCAATTGCGGGTCCAAATATTCGGTAGACTCAATATTATTCCTTAACCAAGTCTCAATAAGCTCGACTGCATTACATTAAATAAAAAAGATCAACCTTTGCATTTAAATTTCTTACGTTTTGATAACTGATGCTATAACTTCGATGTTATCTTTTACAGACCAGAAACGAAAATCGGGTTTAAAATCCCCTAATTTTATTTTATAGATTTGGTGTTTTATCGCAACATATTTTAAATTTATCCAACACAGCTCTATTTCAACAATTCATCCAGATACCATCTGCTGTGGCTCAACATCTCCACACCCCATTCCACGCTCCACCTCATACCAACAACTCCAAAACGCGATATGACAATATCCCCTTATCCATCTTGTCTAACAAGCCAACGAATCGAATAATCCACTCCGAAAAAAAGAACGAAATAAATAAACACGAAAGCAGAACCTAATCCGGAAGTGTTTAAAAATGTAAACGAGCCCACAGCGGCCACAAAAAACGCGAACACGGAGATAAAAATCTTGTAGAGAAGAGATTTATGATAACGGCTGTGGCGAGCATTTAATTTCGGATTAAAAATCAAATGAGATATCATCGTTAGTATCATTAGGTGCTTAAATTGCAAAATAACTAGCTCCATTAATTTAATTTACGCAAATGGGTTTGTGCACGCAAGTGAACACAGACCGTCTTAATTTACTCGAGTGTTGTTAGTGTTTATAAAATAAAGCAGATTTCGCTCGGACGTTTTCACTATGAATATCGGAGAAATATGCGCAGAATGTGCACACGTTTTCGGCCAAAATATGCACCATTTTACTGAAAATATGCACCCAAATATGCAAAACGTCCATATGCAAATACTTAATTTGATCAATATATCTAATAAAACAAAATGACACTTTTAGTTATTTATTGTTAAAGCGCATGTCTTGTAACATTTATTTGCAATATAAGAACTCAAATTATATAAATTAAGTATGTAAGAAAATGCTCGTTACACAATCTTGGTATGTTAACTATAATTTTTATTAAACCAGTTAATTATTAAATGTTATCCTAAATATCCTAAATATCCGAATATCCTATATATTCTTAATATCAAAACTTAAAAATGTAAAATTGAAACAACGAGAAATTGAAAGCTTAATTTATATTCGAAAAATGAAAAATTCAAAAAAGGAAAAACAATAATATTATTGAAAATTGAGAAATTTAAACATTGAAAAATCAAAAAACTGAAAAATTAGAGAAACTAAAAAATCGCAAAATGAATCGATTAAAGCTGAAAATAGTAAAACTGGAAAATCGAAAGCTTGGGAAACTGAAAAATCAATTTAAAAATTGAATAACGGAAAAATGGAAAAATGAAACACTGAAAAATCGGAACAGTGAACATCGAAAAATTTAAAAACTGAAAAATAGAAAATTCCAGAAAATTTAGAAAACTGAGAATTTGAAAAATCCGATAATTCAAAAATTGAAGATTAAAAACTGGAAAAATTGAAAATAAACGAATTAAAAAATTGAAAATGAATAAATCGGATAACTGGAAAATCGAAGCCCAGACGTTTTTTTCAAGGATTCCAAGAACTCTAAAAATTCCGAGGCTGTCAATGAGTTATGAAGATTTTAAAGATTATAAAGGTTCTAAAGATTCTAAAGATCCCAAAAATCCCAAAGATAACGAAGATTTCGACCTTTTTTGGAGATTCTAAAAAATCTAAAATTTCTAAATGTCCTTAAGGTTCTGAGTTCTAAATTTTCTCAAGATTTTAAAGAATTTAAAGGTTTTAAGATCCCAAAGATTCTGAAGTTTCTGAAGGTTCTAAAAGTTCTAAAGATTCTATGGATCCTAAGGAATTTAAAGATCCTAAATATCCTAAATACATTAAATATCCTAAATATCCTAAATATTTTAAATATCCTAAATACCCTAGATTGTTGTCTAGATTTTGAAGTTTCTGAAAGTTTCAAGGATTCCACACATTCCACAGAAAGTTGGGCTTTTAGAGATTCTGGGGATCTAGAGATTCTAGAAATTCCAAACATTCTAAAAATTCTAAACTTCCTAAATTTGCTAAAGATCCTAAAAATCCTAAAAGTCCTAAACATCCTAAAGATCTTCAAGGTTCTAAAGTTCCTAAAAAACTTTGGAATACTGGGCATATATAGAAGCCCAGAATTTCAAGGATTTTAAGGACGTCAAGGGTTTCAAGGATTCCAAGGGCTCCAAAAATTCCAAGGATCACAGGAGTTTCGAGGGTTCCGAAAGCTCCAAGGCTTTCAAGGGTTCTGAAGACTTTAAAGATTCTAAAGGTTCTAAAGATTCTAAAGATACTAAAGACACTAAAGATCCCAAAGATCCCAAAGTTCCTAAAGCTACCGGAGATTTCGAAAGTTTTTGAAGATTCTAAAAGTTCTAAAATTTCTAAATGTCCTTAAGGTTCTACGAGTTCTAAATTTTCTAACGATTCTAAAGAATGTAAACATTTTAAGATCCCAAAGATCCTGAAGATTCTGAAGATTCTGAAGGTTCTAAAATTTCTAAAGATTCTATGGACCCTAAGAAATTTAAAGATCCTAAAGATACTAAAAATCCTAAAGATACTAAATATCCTAAATATCTTAAATATACTAAATACCCTATATATCCTTAATATTAAAACTTAAAACCATAAAATTGAATGAACGAGAAATTGAAAAATCAATTTATTCAAAAACGAAAAATTGAAAAATCAAAAATTGAAAAAAGAAAAAACATTAATTTTGAAAAATAAAAAAAATGAAAAAATAGACAAATTAAAAAATCGTATGATGAATCGAAAAGCTGTAGAACCGGAAAATCGAAAGCTTGAGAAACTGAAAAATCAATTCAAAAATTGAGTAACTGAAAAATCGGATAATACAGAAACTGAAAAACCAAAAACTGAAAAATGGAAAAAATAGAAAAACGAAACACTGAAAAATCGGAACAGTAAACATCGAAAAATTTAAAAACTGAAAAATCTATAAATTGAGAAATATAAAATTTGAAAAAAATGGAAAAATTAAAAAATCTGATAATTGAAAAATTAGAGATATAACTACTTTCTAAATGTTTTAAAAATCCATTAAAACCTATATTCTAAATATTTTCCTGAAGGCGAAAAAATTCGAATAATCCTTAAGATCTAAAAGATACTTTGAGATGATAAGAAGATTCTAAATATTCTGAAGAGCCCAAAAATCCTAAATATCCTAAATATTCTAATTCAACGAAGATGTTCCTTATACGTGGTTATATGTTTTCTGGGAATTAATAAGGTTTATTATTATTATCCTAAATATCCTAAATATCCTAAATATCCTAAATATCCTAAATACCCTAAATATTTTAAAGATCCTAAAGCTATTAAGATCCTACGGATTTTGAGAAATTCGTGAATTCTGAAAATCAGAGGCTTCCTAGGGTTGCAAGGATTCGAAGGATTCCAAGAATAATAATTATTTTAATTTTCCAAAATTTCCAAAGTTTCCAAAAATTTCAAAGTTCCTGTGGATTTTAAGAATTTTAAGGATGCCAAGGATTCCAATGAATTCACGAATTCCAGGATTCCAGTGGATTCATATGTTCAAAATATTCCAAGAATTCAACGAATTCTAAGTGTTCCAAGGCTTCCGGGTGTTCCCAGGCTTTCAAGAATTCCATAGGCTCTGAAGATTTTAAAGATTCTAAAAATTCTGAAGATTCTGAAGATTCCGAAGATTCCGAAAATTCCGAAAAACCTGAAGATTTTGAAGATTTTGAAAATTCTAAAAGTTCAATAGGTCCTAAAGATTATATCAATCCTAAACAATCTAAAGATCCTAAATATCCTAAATATATAAAAGTGTTGCGAGAGTTCCGAAAGTTCCAAGGCTTTCAAGGATTCCATGGGTTATGAAAATTTTAGAGATTCTAAAGGTTCTAAATTTTCTAAATATTCTAAAGATTCTAAAGATCCTAAAGATCTTAAAGATCCTAAAAATCCTAAAGATTGTGAAGATTTTGAATTTTTTTGAAGATTCTAAAAATTCTAAAATAAGTTCTAAATGTCCTTAAGGTTCTAAGAGTTCTAAATTTTCCAAAGACTTTAAAGAACTTAAAGATCCTAAGATCCCCAAGATTCTGAAGATTCTGCAGATTCTGAAGATCCTAAATATCTTAAATATCCTATATAATTATCCTTAATGTCAAAACTTAAAACTCTAAAACTGAAAGAACGAGAAGTTGAAAAATCACAAAATCTAAAAAGGAAAAACATTCATTTTCAAAAATTGAAAAATTTGAACATTGAAAAATCAAAAATCTGATAAAATATAGAAATTAAAAAATCGTATAATGAATCAAAAAGCTGAAAATTATAAAACTGAAAAATCGAAACCTTGAGAAACTGAAAAACCAAAAACTGAAAAATGGAAAAAATGGAAAAACGAAACAGAAAAATCGGAACAGTAAACATCGAAAAATTTAAAAACTGGAAAATCGAGAAATTGAGAAATTCAGAATTTGAAAAAAATTGAGAATTTCAAAAATCTGATAACTGAAAAATTAAAGATTGAAAACTGGAAAAATTTAAAACAAAGAAATTAAAAATTGGCTTTCAATAAGTTATGAAGATTTTAAAGGTTCTAAAGCTTCTAAAATTTCTAAAGATTCTATGAATCGTGAGGAATTTAAAGTTCCTAAATATCTTAAATAACCTAAATATCCTAAATATCTTAAATATCCTAAATATCCTAAATACCATATATATCCTTAATATTAAAACTTAAAACCGTAAAATTGAAAGATCAATTTATTCAAAAACGAGAAATTGAATAATCAAAAATTGAGAAAAGGAAAAGCATTAATTTTGAAAAACTGAAAAATTTAAACATTGAAAAATAAAAAAAATGAAAGAATAGACAAACTAAAAAATCGTATGATGGATCGAAAAGCTGAAAATTGTAAAACCAGAAAATCGAAAGCTTGAGAAACCGAAAAGTCAATTTAAAAATTGAATAACTGAAAAGTGAAAAAAATAGAAAAACGAAAATCGGAACAGTAAATATCGAAAAATTTAAAAACTGAAAAATCTAAAAATTGAGAAATATAAAATTTGTAAAAAACTGAAAAATTCAAAAATCTGATAATTGAAAAATTAGACATATAAAACTGGAAAAAGTGAAAATAAAGAAATCAAAAAATTGAAAATTTGAAAAACTGGAAAGTTAAAAAATCGAAAAATTTAGAAATCAATAAATCGGATAATTGAAAAATCGAACAATGACAAAATTGCTAGAAAAATTAAAATATCCAGATAGTCTGAAAATTGAAAAAAAAAATGCAGTACTTAAGATGCTAAGAATTCGGTAAATTCTAGATGTTCTGGGAAGAGCAAGAATTCCAGATTTTCTAAATGTTTAAAAAATCCATTAAAACCGATATTCTAAATATTTTCCTGAAGGCGAAAAAATTCTAATAATCCTTAAGATCTTAAAGATGTTTAGGGATCATAAAAAATCTAAATATTCTAGATATTACAAACATTCTGAAAATTCTAAGGATGCTAAAGACCCCAAAGATCTTAAAGATACTAAATATTCTATAGAATCGAAGGATCCTAGGGATTCTAAAGATTGTGAAGATTCTAAAGGTTAAGAAGATTGTAAATATTCTGATGAGCCTAAAGATCCTAAAGAGCCCAAAGATCCTAGATATCCTAAAAATTCTAAATATCAACGAAGATGATCCTTATACGTGTGTATATGTTTTCTGGGAATTAATAAAGTTTGTTATTATTATCCTAAATATCCTAAATATCCTAAATACCCTAAATATTTTAAAGATCCTAAAGCTATTAAGATCCTACGGATTTTGAAAAATTCGTGAATTCCAAAAGATCAGAGGCTTCCTAGGGTTGCAAGAATTCCAAGGATTCCAAGATTAATAGTTATTTTAATATTCCAAAATTTCCAAAGTTTCCAAAGATTTCAAAGTTCCTGTGGATTGTAAGAATTCTAAGGATGCCAAAGATTCCAACGAATTCTCGAATTCCAGAATTCCAGGGGATTCATATGTTCAAAACACTCCAAGGATTCAACGAATTCTAAGTGTTCCGAGGCTTCCGGGAGTTCCGAAGCTTTCAAGAATTCCATGGGCTCTGAAGATTTTAAAAATTCTAAAAGTTCTATAGATCCTAAAAATTATATAGATCCTAAACAATCTAAAGATCCTAAATATCCTAAATATTATATAAGTGTTTCGAGAGTTCCGAAAGTTCCAAGGCTTTCAAGGATTCCATGGGTAATGAAGACTTTTTTATGTTCTAAAGATTCTAAAGATCCTAAAGATCTTAAAGATCGTAAAAATCCTAAGCATCCTAAAGATCCTAAAAATTTCGAAGATTTCGAATATTTTGAAAGATTCCAAACATTTTGAAATTTTTTGAAGATTCTAAAAATTCTAAAAATTCTAAAATAATTTCTAAATGTCTTTAAGGTTCTAAGAGTTCTAAATTTTCCAAAGACTCTAAAGAACTGAAGATTCTGCAAATTTTGATGATCCTAAATATCTTAGAAATCCTAAGTACCCTAACTATCCTAAATATCCTTAATATCCTATATATCCTAGATATCTTAAATATCCTATATAATTATCCTTAATATCAAAACTTATAACTCTAAAACTGAAAAAACGAGAAGTTGAAAAATCAGTAATTGTAAAAAGGAAAAATATAGATTTTGAAAAATTGAAAAATTTAAACACTGAAAAATCAAAAATCTGATAAAATACATATAGAAATTAAAAATCGTATAATGAATCAAAAAGCTGAAAATTGTAAAACTAAAAAATCGAAAGCTTGAGAAACTGAAAAATCGATTAACTGAAAACATCGAAAATTTTAAAAAATGAAAAATCTGAAATGTGAAAAAAATTAAGAAAATCAAAAATCTGATAATTGAAAAATTAAAGAGCGAAAATTGGAAAAACTGAAAAGTGTAAAAAATCGAAAAATGATAAAATTACAAAATTAAAACCTCGAAAAATGAATATCCAGGAAGTCTGAAAATTGAAAAAATTGCAGTACTTTAGATTTTAAGAATTCGGTAAATTCTAAATGTTCTAAAAGAAGCAAGTATCCCCCACTTTCTATAAATGTTTTAAGAATCCATTAAAAACCTGTATTCTAAATATTGTCCTAAAGATTCTGAAGGCTCCAAATTTTTAGGGTTCCGAAATTGGAGAATTAAATGGATCATAAAGAGTCTAAATATCCTATAAATCCTATAAATCCTGAGCATTCTAAATATCGCAGAAATTTTAAAGGTTTTCAAGAATAGATAGACCCCAAATATACCAAAGAAGCAAAAAATTCTAATCATTTAAAGAAGCT